GCTGATCGTGAGTGGGCTTATTAGAATCCCACATTGCTTGGGAAAATATAAATAATCCACTTAATAAGGTGAGGGCAATCCTCCCCTAATAAGCCGGTTTTATTAGGTGGAGTTAGGCCCAATATTCCTAACAGTAATTGGGATTGTCGCTGTGGGAGAGTTGTAGCAGGTTTGATGTTTGTGTTGTTGGCTTGAATGTTGTTGTAGGCGGTTGTAGTGTATTGTGTAGATGGTGACCGGAATTTAGATAGTAACTTCACAGGAAGACATTTCTGGATTGTGATGAGCTATTACCCAAGTTTTAGCTTGGATACCAAGTTGATGTAGTATCAAAATGAAGTAACTAAGAACAGAGAATCAGTAGACAGCGAAGAAGAAGAAGACAGCAGAAAAGGCCACAGAAAAAGAGAAGAACAAGAGTAGAAGGAAGAAGAATACCAGGAGAAGAAGAGAGGCAGGGAAAGGAGAAACTTATGCAAGCAAATTCATCAATTCATGCTTTCATTGTCCGCCTTTGCTATCAAGATTAGAAAGAAAAACAACCTTAAAGATGAAAAGGGCTTGGGCCGGCCCAATATACAAACCCAATTACTAAACATAAATGAAAGCCCATAAACTAAACATAGATATAGTGATGTCCTCATCACAAACTATGCCTTCTATTGATAATTAATTTAAGTATGTGGAATCGACCTTTTGGCTCAGCCTCTTTCATAAACTATGTCTGTATATATTGTATTAGATATGTAGTGAGAAAGTTCACACTCGTGGTTCCCCAACATTTTCTCCTTTGTATATCATGTACATTTTCTTTTGTTTTCACTTGTCCCTCTGAGCAGGAACAACTTGATGGTGCTGGTGTTGAACTCTCAAGTCTCTATAAGTGGATTGAAAAGCAGGCTCCAAATAGTTGCTGTACTGAAGCATGGAAAAAGAGGACTCATTGGGCAGGAAATCAGATGTCAAGCGATGTGACTGAGTCAGTTGCGCAAGCTGAACAGTATCTCCAGATCCACAGGCCTATGAGAAGGCATGTTCGTCGATATGCTTTTGAGTTAATCTTTATTTTTTCCTTTTAATTTGAAATCTTGTTGGGCAGACGGCATGGTAAAATTTTGGATGAGGGTGCCAATGGTTTCCTCGAGAGAAAACTTAACAGTGAAAACACTGACAAGTCATCGATAGAGAATATCAAATTTGGCAGTAAGTACTGGACTTCTGTCTATCTGGCCAGTACACCACAGCAAGCTGCTGAACTGTGTCTAAATTTTCCTGGAGTCAATGAGGTGAAATATCTGAAATTGTTTCATTGAAGATCTTTGGCAAAACCTAGCTTTTTGATGTAACAGCTGCATGGTTTATTGTTGCCTTCCATCTGATAATTGAATTTATACTATATTAATGCTAGTGCTCTAAGTTTTCTTTTCATTTTCCTGATTCAATCACAACTATTCTCTATTGTTTCAGATGTTCTGTGTACGATTCTGAATGTTTCAAGTCCTGTATCTTTTGAAGCAGTTTTGTCATCTTAGCATGGGTACCTCTAATTTGTCTGCCTCCTGATATTTCAATTGTTGGACAATCCAAGCTTAAGTAGTAAATTGGTGTAATCATCTAAAATTTTCAAGACAGTATCAATCAAATTGATTAAAATCTTGTAGGTTCTGCTGGGGGCAGATCTCACAGTATAATCTAGGTGCATTAAAATATCATTATATAACTCTTATGTAGAGCAA